TGACAAAATATTCTTCTCCAGGTTCCAATGCGAAGGCGGCAAGACGCTCGAACAGAAGTTGCGCGTCTGATAACAGTGGCCTTGACATCCTTGGCTGCGGGATGACGTGCACAAAAGGGGTCGGATGAGTGCACAAAAGGGTTCAGAAGGGGAAGAGAAGGGTGCAGGGCGAGCCCAGGGCCAGGCAGCTCTGTGTAGCTCCTCTCATTCCAGCCTTCACCGCCCCCCGGAGAGGTGCCATGCACCTCCCTATTTATGAGCCCAAGCCCAGGGCTCTGACACGCCGAGGGGATTTTCAGCACTTCCAGATGGTCAGGTCCTCAGCAGGACCTCAGCCTCCCTGTCTCCCCCAGGCCTGCCCGTCCTCTCCGGTTCGCGTTCATACTAGAAGATTCCGACAGGAACTTGGGTGATCTTGGTCTCAAAGAGGCGAAAAGCGCATCTGCAATGTCTTCCGGAGAAAACTATAACCATGGAAGCCTAAGAGGGTTAGGAGAAGAGAAAGGTGAAGTTACTTTCAGAGATGAGAAAGGGCAGTGTAAGGTGATGTCAGAGCCAAAGAGGCTGCAAAACTGCAATGACTGTAAGAGGGGCAGGCTACACCCACAGAGCCAAAACAGCACAGTCCACAAGGGAGGGGGTCAGGCAGGACCATCGGATGGAGAAAGAATGACCGTACTCCACACGAGAAGGGATAATAGGCAGGCAAAACTATCATCCATAGTAAAGCCAATCACCTCAGTAACTAGGCAAGAGAAACCACGCTCCAAGCGCAACGACTGAGCGAGAAAGACATTACAACACTGAAGAATAAGGAAAGGAACAACAAATAAAAAGAGTAGATAGAGAGAAGAAGTAACAAAACCGGCCATCTCGCCTCACTGCAACCACAGACCAAACAGAAGACACAAAGTATAAACCCCTCACACAACAAACTAGGACAGACTTAGCAGACACAAGGTGGCAGGAGTCTAGCATCTACTTGGTGCCCATAAAACACGCGAACATCTGCGCTCTGGAGAACAACAAGAAAGGGAGTATAGGAGCACGGGTCCCTTCTGTTCTGACCCTCCTCAGTCCCAGGGAGCCCAGCGCCTTTCTGCCCCCCACACTACCCCCAGGGTCCCTGTCCCCAGCAGGAGGCACCTGATGCCACACTCTCCCGAACTCAGGGTGCCCCGCAGTGCTCACCCGGGTTGTAGTAAGTCGTACAGGCTGCGCTGGCCCTCACCGTCCCACCACGGAACTTCCTGCCACAGCCTCAAAGCCCACCAGCTCTCCGGAGAGGTAGGGACCTGGATCACCAGCGTGAGGGAGGAGAGATGAAAAAAGGACAAAGCGGACCCACTCCTTGGGCCCTGCACCCCCTATATGATTTCCTTGGCCTGTTTTTGTTTGGTTCCTGTTGGCCTTCTCTCCAGTGTGTCTTCACATTCTGTTACCCTCCTACTACAGGAACTCTCCAAGCTGCTCCGCAAGGTCCTCTGGTGAGCTTCACTTCCCAGAGGGTGACCTTGCGCCAGTGCTTCACTGCCCCAGGCCCTCAGCAGAGTCTTGCATCATGGACATGTTCTCTGTGAGACCTGTCCCTAAGCTAAGGTTAGTTCTGGAACATCCCTTGGTTCTTGAGCTGGTCATTTCTTACGTTCCCTCCTTCGGGAACTTGCTTCCTCATGCTCCCCTGTGGGGCCTCAACCACTCCCTGCCCTTCCACTAAACCACTCCAGGCTGATGATTCTCAAACTGGCCACTTGCAGCTCCATCTCTGCATAGGGGTTTGGCAGGACCCCGTAAGTTCTCCAAGGCACTCTGGCCTGCCCCCAAACCCACTCACCCTCCTGACAGCCTCAACTTTGTCATGGATAAACTGGTCCTCCTTTATTGGCCATAACGCTAACTGCAGGTTCTGTCATCCTGCCTGACCCCTGACTCAGGTCCCAGGGCCTCGACCCTTCCTCATGCCCATGGCGGGCCCAGTCCACACGGTGCCGTGCCAGTGTTCTCCTGACTGCTGGCCCGCCGTCAGGCTCCCTCTCTGGGAATCTTGCGTGGCTTGTTTTCCATTTGTGTCAGGCCAGCCCAGATGTGTCAGCCAGGCTTCCCCAGCT